CCTGAACAACAAGAACCCGCTGTCCCCGACATTCACGGCGTGGAGGGACCCGCGTTCTTTGTCGAAGCTGAGGATGCAAGCCGTCGACGAGCCTTGTACGTCGGCGTTGTTCTCGTAAGCTTCGTTCAGCACCTTTCTTGCATCCACGGGGGTGGCTCCGACGGCGGCCATATGCGTAGCCGTTTCTTTGGCGTGGTTCATGATCCCCCTTGCGTACTCGCCGGCGTCGATGCCTTTCCTGGCCCAGCCGCCGACGCCGTCAGCCAAGCCGATAGTCTGAGCGAAGTGGGATATGAAGTGGGCGTCTTCGCCGAGGGGCTTCTCGGGGTTGTCTTTGGGGCAATAGCAGGACCCACAAACCAACTTCATCTTCTGATTCTGAATTTTCCTCCTCTTGTTTGTTTCTTTTAATTCTTGAACTTGATCAATAGGGTTATTCAACTTTCTCTTTTGATCAGGGACAGGGCCACAGCCATAGCCATATCCACAGGAGCCGTAGCAATCATCGATCGGCGTCCCCAAACCAAACGTAGGCGGCTTGTTCGCTGCGATAATCATCTTTAACAACACACACAACACAACGAGAGAGTAGCAAGAGCAAAAGCAAGAGAGAGAGAGAGTGAGTAATTTAACGCGAGAGAGAGTGAATGGAATGGGTAGGGAAGAAAGAGTATTTATAGATTTTCATTTCTCCTTGTCCCATCAGGTTTAGTTTTATTTTTTATTTTTTTATTCATTTGAGAAAAGAGGCCCATTTCATTTCGGGTCCTTCAAATTCCCATATTGCCCTAGATTTACAAGGAAACAACTCGTAGCCCACGCAGATAAAAAGTTCCATGCGGTACGGTGTAAATCAATCCGGTCCACTTTTTAAAAGTACGTTTTGCGCATTTTACTTGACCTTGAAAGAAAGAGAAATCACTAAATTGCCATTCGCAAGAGTTCATCCACGTGGAAAGTTCTCGACTACTAGCAACAAGCTGTATTTTGTGTTTAATAAAGTAAAGTTTTTCATTGAAATCTCAAAACCCTATGAATCTAAATCTTATTTCTATTTTTAAAGGATAATTTTACCAAATCCCCTTTAGTTCTTTGATGTTATTGTGGTCACTGTTTAATAATGACATGTCCAGAACTTTAAGGAAAATACATGAAGAAACATTGTTGATTGTGTGGCAAAAGATCTAGTCCAGTGGTTATAACATGGACCAAAATCTCTTGTTCAATGCATAGGCTCCCAATTGTATAGTAATAGAGGTGTTAGGATAGTTGTGTCAGCCATGGTCAATTAGAGCCTTAAATTGTAATTGCTTCAGAATAAGATCAAGATTTAGTCGGCCACTTTCATATACATAAAAGGAAGAAAGATCAAGATTTAGTCTTTTTAGTATTCACATGAAATGAAAATGATAACGATGGGTATTGGTATTGGGGATTCCGAGCCTTTGCATTTATCTACATATTTACTAGCATTTCGCTTAATTTTAATCGTCGTAATAATCTAACGACCTACTATGAATTTAGTTTTATTTTATGAGATCCATCATATTATTTTTAACAGCTTAAAGTGCAATTTTGCCCTTCTAGTAAATTTTTTTTTTATTAATTTTAAAAATAAAATAAAATAAACCAAACCCAGCACTTGTAGCTCCCTGTTCTCTTGTCAATGGCGGCGACTTTTGTGTGCTTAGGCTGGGATTTGCCAAAATTCTAGTTTTTGGTGTGAACTGAGCTGTATGCTTATTTTTGGGCTCTAATTGTATTTGGGGTTGGGCACTGGACTATGTGTGTTGTTTTATTTTGAATTTTTTTGTTATTGTGTTGGGTGAGCGAAATTTGTTCTAGACTTGGTTTGAGTTTAGATGTTCTTTCGTAGTTGTGTTACGATTCTATTGTGTCATTGGTTTGTGCTTTGTACACTTGCCTATTTGGCATTTTAATGAAATGAGATATGATTTCGAACAAAAAAAAAATTTCCCCCATCGACCACCCACCTCCCTTCCCATCTCTACCTTTCTCCCTATCCTCTTTTATTTCTCTATAAAACAACCTAATTGACATACCCATAAACACATAAAATAACCCAACTGACTCCCAATTCATAAAGTAATCAAAATCGAGAAAGAATTTTGACAATAAAAAGTTCGTAAGACTCAATTGAGATTAATTAGCGAATTCATGAAGAAATCAAAACCCCAAATAAGAGGGTTGAAGCTAAAGTATACGCTAGATTTTAATAAATGAAAAACTTAAATCAAAAGCCACCTCATAGATTAATGAGATCAAACAAAGTCCCCCCACCAAAGCCAAATGATAATCCAATGATACTCCATAAGCCAGTTTTCCCAAACCCACCACAACTTCACTCTCTTCTTGAAGTTCTCCAGAGTGTTGATCTCTCAAGCTTGAAGTGGCTAGAATCTTCATTTGATCATGAGATGTAATTAAAATCAGTTTGTGTGACCCATGAGACAACCATAGCAAACATGGCAAAGGTAGTCTAAGTACACATCAAAGGTTGATAAGTGGAGTGGTTACGATGATGGCGGTGCTAGAACCGGGTGGGTTTGGTTCCTTTTCTTTTCTTCTTAATTTTATTCGAAAGGTAAAATTGGAATTTTAGACTGTTAAAACTAAATTAAATTTATGGTAGTTGACTGTTATATTATAAATCGTTAGATTACTACAACGACAAAGATTAAGTGAAATGCGGATATAAGTTACAACGTTCCAATCAGAATACATTTTCATACCACACATATAAGTTACAATCAATTAACCATAATAATTAATTTAAGAGTGAATAATTGGTGATTAATTATTTGCTTTTGTTGCAGATGAGACTACTTTCTTAAAATTCTTCTTATGAATGTCAAAAGGTTAATAATAATTTGGCTTAAATGCAAAAATGGTCTTTGTGTTTTCAATTTCTCCAATTTGGTCCCTGTGTTTAGGACCGTTAGCTAATGTTGTCTATTCTGTGAAAATACAACAATGTTGTCAAACTCATTATGTTACATCCAATTTAATCTGGAAAACAAATATTTGCTTCTTACAAAGACAAATTAATTCACTTTCCACTAAAACGGTTAACAAAACTTACTGGCCACGTGTTTTATTAATTAAGAACATCATGGTAAGGAAATTATGAATGTACCTCCAAAAAGGAAATCATGGTGATTTAATTTACTTTGTGTTGCATAAATTAATCTAGTTACAAATGAAAATGAAAATGAAAATGAAAGTAGTGGATGCAACATTAAATTCATGAGAAAAATAAAGAATTTTCATTAATTGTAATAAAGTGAAAGTGGTACAATCTCAATTTCAAACAACGTGTTTTTTATTTGACCCAAACTACCAGGCCAGCACATAATCTTTTTTTTTTTTTTTTTTTTTTTGGGGGGGGGGTTCAAAACACTCATTATGCTACATCCAATTTAATCTTAAAAACAAATATTTGCTTCTAAAAAAGACGGATTAGCGCCAACACCACTAAAACGGTTAACAAAACTTACTGGCCACGTGTTTTATTAATTAAGAACATCATGGTAAGGAAATAAATGAATGTACCTCCAAAAAGGAAATCATGGTGATTTAATTTACTTTGTGTTGCATAAATTAATCTAGTTACAAATGAAAATGAAAATGAAAATGAAAGTAGTGGATGCAACATTAAATTCATGAGAAAAATAAAGAATTTTCATTAATTGTAATAAAGTGAAAGTGGTACAATCTCAATTTCAAACAACGTGTTTTTTATTTGACCCAAACTACCAGGCCAGCACATAATCTTTTTTTTTTTTTTTTTTTTTTTGGGGGGGGGGTTCAAAACTTATGTGAAAACACAACAATGTTGTCAAACTCATTATGCTACATCCAATTTAATCTTAAAAACAAATATTTGCTTCTAAAAAAGACAAATTAATTAACTTTCCACTAAAACGGTTAACAAAACTTACTGGCCACGTGTTTTATTAATTAAGAACATCATGGTAAGGAAATTATGAATGTACCACCAAAAAGGAAATCATGGTGATTTAATTTACTTTGTTTTGCATAAATTAATCTAGTTATATATAAATGAAAATGAAAATGAAAGTAGTGGATGCAACATTTAATTCATGAGAAAAATAAAGAATTTTCATTAATTGTAATAAAGTGAAAGTGGTACAATCTCAATTTCAACAACGTGTTTTTGATTTGACCCAAACTACTAGGCCAGCACATAATCTTTTTCTTTTTTCTTTTTTTTTTTGGGGTGTGGGTTCAAAACCTAGGTACTAGAAGCTACAACAATGGCGACGACAACAGTGATGTCGTCGATCTTGCCTCCGACGTGCTCCACTCCGGCCTTCTCAGCAGCCATTTGAAAAGGGGTAACGTTGTCCTCGTCCTCGGAGTTAAACAAAGCCACGGCGGCTATGGTTGAAGCCAAATCCTGACAATCACTATCCCGACCACCGCTTACTTTATTAAACGCCACCAAAACCTCCTCAATCTCACTCACAAACATGTTGTCCAGCAACCCATCTGTCCCGAGTACGATAATGTCCCCAGGCATTATATCCTCCACCTCAAACTCCTCCGCCGCCTCGGGACGATCGCTGTGGACGTGGTTCCCCAACTGATAGGGACAGTTGAACCTCCTCTGCTGAGTTGGAGATATGTACACACACATGGCCTCCCTGAACAACATGAACCCGCTGTCCCCGACATTCACGGCGTGGAGGGACCCACGTTCTTTGTCGAAGCTGAGGATGCAAGCCGTCGACGAGCCTTGTACGTCGGCGTTGTAAGCGTAAGCTTCGTTCAGCACCTTTCTTGCATCCACGGGGGTGGCTCCGACGGCGGCCATATGCGTAGCCGTTTCTTTGGCGTGGTTCATGATTCCCCTTGCGTACTCGCCGGCGTCGATGCCTTTCCTGGCCCAGCCGCCGACGCCGTCAGCCACGCCGATAGTCTGAGCGAAGTGGGATATGAAGTGCGCGTCTTCGCCGAGGGGCTTTTCGGGGTTGTCTTTGGGGCAATAGGAGGACCCACAAACCAACTTCATCTTCTCATTCTGAATTTTCCTCCTCTTATATGTATCTTGTAATTCTTGAACTTCATCAATAGGGTTTTCCAACTTTCTCTTTTGATCAGGGGCAAGGCCACAGCCATAGCCACAGGAACCGTAGCAATTATCAATCTGCGGCCCCAAACCAAGAGCAGGCAACTTGTTGGCGGCGATCATCATATTTAACAACACACACAACACAGCGAGAGAGTAGCGAGAGCAAAAGCAAGAGAGAGTGAATGGAATGGGTAGGGAAGAAGAAGTATTTATAGATTTGCTTATCTCCTTGTCCCAACAGGTTTAGTTTTCGACCCAAAAAAAAACAGGTTTAGTTTTCTTTTTTATTTTTTTATTCAGAAAATGATTCAAAGCTCATTTCATAAAAATAGATTTGCTTATTATCTCCTTGTCCCAACAGGTTTAGTTTTCGACCCAAAAAAAAACAGGTTTAGTTTTCTTTTCTTTTTTTTTATTCAGAAAATGATTCAAAACTCATTTC